TCTACTATGAAAATTAGATTTAGGTATCAACCATTGCTACCAAGTACAATTATATTGTCATAAATCTTGGCATTTTTAGAACTTTTGGATCATCAAAATTTAAGAGAATGTTAACAAAGTTTTCAAACATCTTCAGTTTTTTGACAGTCAACATCAAAAAAGTTTTTGTAACCAACATTTGTGTGTAATATAAAGTTACGAAATAAACATAAAACTTTGGAACTCTGCGTAATACACAACAGGCTAGATAGTTCTCTTTGCCACTCTTGTAATATACCCACATTTGAATGTGAAAATGGCATGAAGCCCCTTTTTCCCCCATTTATAAAAAAAAAATTCTATTTAGTTTATATATTACATATTGCACAAAAGTATGATTCAATTCTGTGATGCTAAAATTTCTTGTAGCTGACCCCCAATAACAAAAGCCTATTCAGACTCAAGATTTTAACCTGGGAGAAGTGGTGTCTGTTGAAGTCCCGTGTATCTTTATACAGTTGATGTTTTCATATTTTGGGAGCAAGAGACATTAGATTTCGTGTACCTTTAACCATATCCCTTATCATTTTTGTCTAAATTCAGGAAGCACTTCACAGAAACTTATAATTGAATAGAGCCATTATTGCCCAGCTAAGGTACAAAAATGTTGTTTCGTCCCAGCATCACCAGTACAAGCAGAGTGAGGGTGAGAAGAGCAATGTCAAGACATGACAGAATTTTTATTGAATCTAGTTCTGTAACCACATGAAGTATCTGTTTTTCAACCTTTTACATGTAATAATTTATACAGACGGAAATAGAAAAATATTTAATTTTGGGATTTTGCCTATTGCACTGTTCTACGCAGTTAACAATAAATTGTAATATTGATATTTTTAAAGGTCACTGGCAGAAAAGAACAGAATTGCCTTTTACAAAATTTTGTTGTCTGAATTATTTTGAATAAAAGTCAATTATCAGGATTTTTGGAACTTGAAAAACAATTTTATTACAAAAACTATGCCTTTAAAAAATAATAGTATTATCATATGATAAAGAATGGCTAAAATTTGACAGAATGGAAATTGGTAAATAAATAAAACCTGCAAAATGCAACGTGTCAAACTTAATACGTTTCCCAAAAAATCATGAATATCTGAAGATAAAAAGATTTCTTTTTGGTCACTTTTCACATTACCCTGTTTACATTTTGTTTGTTTTTCATTCCATCAACTTGGAAAAAGAATTCTGTATATCACAGAGCTCCTTGCAGCACAGAATACCAGGAGAAATATTCACTGATCACTACAACAAACACCATTATCTGATCTTTGTTCTTGAACTGTAATAATTTAGGGTACAGGATTATATCTATTTTCACTTTCTCTAACACATCAGATCATGCTTAAACAGATCCTGTTAACAAAGATCCTGTGAGGTTTTCATCCAGAAGTAATATATGGAAAAAGGATGCGCTCAATTTCATAAGTAAAAACCGAAGAGTCCTTTGCAAAATGGTGTCATCTTAGGTTCCAAAAAATTGTCAACAGTTAAGAGAAGTGAATGCACAGGTCACTATACCCTAAAAAGCTCCTTGGGTAAACAGAGGGAGCAACTAGCCCCACCAATCATCCAAAAGTTGTTGTTCAGTGATAACAACAAAATTATAATAGCATAGTAACAAATCTAAGAAATAACCACGATGGGGAATTTTCACTCTCAATATAAACTTTTAAAATAACTATTTGATGTTTTTAAAGCTAATTAATAGGGGAAAAAAATATTATTTACAGATATCTTTAAATGATTAGGAACAACGGTTCCAGTTCTCTCTCTCTGAATAAACCAAATTTTGTATTGGGACAAAAAAAAAGAGAGAAAGAAATAAAAAGGAAGAAAATAAAATTAAAATCAAGTTATGGGAGAATGGGTATTCACAAATCACTGTATTCTCCACTGCAGTGGCATGAAATTGTTAATTGTTAAATTTTTACGTTCTTATTAACATGAGAAATAGCACTAAAGAAGTACAAGATAAATAGCACATCAATATTCAGGTGGGCTGACATGTTAAATAATCTTCTGAAGAAATTTCAAGGGAAAATACAATTGTATGTTGCATGCAAACACACACTTCTTTCGGAAACTAATTTAAAATTATACAGGGAGGTACTTTTCACTACCCTGAGGAAGCCTGCAATATGACGTGAAATGTCGGCCTCTCAACTAACGACAAGGCGTCACCCGAACAGCCAAGAAGTCATGAACCCAAGCCGCAGAAGCATGTGTATAAAGCAATTGCTTGCCAAAAGGACAAATACAACGCTTGCTCCAGTCCAGAGAACAGATGATTGATACTCCAAGCATAAACAATTTTTAGGGAACAAATGTTTAGAAATTCTGACACGATTGTAGAATTCTTAAATGTAAATAGCCCATCTGAATACACATCTAAATCAAATTGGGGGAGAGAGCGTATTATCAAATTTAACTGGTTATCAAAATGTATTTAAATGCCAGCCACATTTTTAAGCACACTGTATTTTTACATGGACTGACAATAAAACATACAATTGACTTTTTTAAATTTGAGGTACTGGTTACCTTCGCAGATTCAAGTGTGTGTTTGCTTTCAAGTGATTCTTTAGAGAGGAATATTTCCATCAAGATTTCTTTTTGATGGGATGTGGTGTTTTGTGGGGTGATTCAGTGACCTCCCATACGCTTGAACCTCATATTGATAGTTGTTGGGAAAATTCAGTAGTTATTTGTATTCCCCATTAATTTCCTTCTAAACTAGCAGACCTCATGAACCTGCCCTCTTTCTCAATTTAGATTTTGAAAGGAGAGGTAAAATAAACCCTTACACATGATTTACATGCTTCCTTTTAATAAACAATTCCAGAGTTATCGCAAATGTGTGGAAGCACAATGTATCATTTGGATTTTTAAAAGCCACATAGCCCCTTTGTGGATATACTAAAAGTCCGGGATAATTTATCATTAGGAAGCCTTACTGACAAATAATGTAACTACACATTTTCACTGAATGCGTAAATAATTAAAGTAATTAATGAGATCAACATACTGTTTAGCTATAACTAAAGTACATAAATTTATCAAGAAAAAGTGCTTCCATAGCAAAATTGCAAATAAATATCATTACCCCTTTTTAAAACTTACTGGCCACAAACATACCAAAAATTCAGTAAAAATGTGTTCAAATAGTTAAAATTATCAAGCCTCAAAATAATTTAAACATAACAAAATTTACTTTACATTCTTAAAAAACTCCATTTCTGATTTATAAAAATTACGCGCTACATACAAATCCCAGTATAATTATAAAAGGTTTATGTAATGGAACCTTCATTATCTGGGATTTGCTTATCCAGAAGCCAATTATCTGGGGCCTGTTTCATAAAGAAAATTATTAAATAAATGTAGGTGCCTAAAAATAAATGTTACAAACTTCAGGGGTATACAGGGGGTAAACAATGATCAGTTTGCAAATGGTGGTGAAATATCGCATATCAAAGTTACAAATGTTACATTTGCCCCTGATTGTTAAGAAAGTCCTCATGCAATAGTGTTTAGCAGGTTATGTTCTAATAAGGTCAAAGATTTTTGTGAGTCTCCCCAACACCAGCACATAAACCTAACCATCAGGAAAATGACACATGTGTCACTTCATTATATGAAATTTTCCACCAAATGATCATTGGCAAAATGTGCTCATCTTCAACCCCCTCTACAAACCCTTGTTGTTTGTAACATTTATGCTAAGACCCCCTGTTCAAACAAAATTACTTCATTAATCTGCAGCCTTGGGATGATTTCATTAATTTCATCAATATATTTGGGTATGAATCTCAAACTGATCACTGTAGAAGAGGACAGAAAAAAAACTCTAAATAAAAATTTAATACTTCTGCAAATGAAATTGTAATAGGCGATGTATTAAACTAACTTGAATTATTTTATGTGCATGTTTTAACTCATAAAATACATTATTTCTACACTTTTTTCTTGGTTACCTTCATTCCTTAATTAACCATCTTATACATTTGAACCAATAAAAAAATTATTTGGATTAACCAAATAACCAATTATTTGGATTTTGATTTTCCATGGATTCCTTGTCATTACCCCAGATAATGGAGGTTCTAAGATGTATATATTTTGCATGTTAATGTTCTCAGCTCAATATTTTCTTAATCCGTTATAAAACATTTTAGTTACCAGCTCCTACAAGTTAGATTATCACAGTTCAATAGTAAAGAAAAGAACTCACATAGACAACTCAATGCAAGCATAATATGAACATAAGAAGAAAAAAAATTGAAATCAAGATGCCTCAACTTTCATTAATTCATTTCAATCCAAAATCCAATAGATCAGTTATTTTGAAAATCATTTGCTCCAGTACTTAGATATATATACAAGGTACTAAGATATCGAAAATAACAGAGAGACTGTTTCATTTATGCCTGAAACTTCTGACTAGATAGAATGGGCTTTAACAGCCATTTCTAAAAGAGTAGTAAATGACCATTCAATGCATTTCAGTAATACAGGTTTTACTGTACATTATAGAAAATATTGTTATTTACAAATAAAAATATATTTCTTATGGTAGCTGCTTAGACGCCTGGGCAAATAAGTACACTTTCCTATTTCATGGGTGTCATTTTATTGTGTTCCTTAACCAGATCAATCATCTTTCATGCCAGATTGTCATTACCATAGCTCACTGGCTGCTGTAATGTCACTGTCAACAAAATCAAAAGACCCCAGACCAGAAGTTATAAGAAGGCTGTTCCATTGAGCCATTCAACTGCTAGACAAGTAGGAGAATTTGGGGATGTGCAGGGGCGGATGAGGCATCTCGCTCCAACAAAGTGCAAGCAGTGTTGTTCACTCTCTTCCACAAGAGAGTGATGCATCAGAAATTCACCACAAAATGAGTCAAGTATACTGTACAAACTTTCAAACAAAAGAAGAGGAATGCTAGCTTCAAGAGATGTTCTTATTCACAACAATGACTGCACTCACACTGCTGCTGTAAATATTACTTCTTGGGCAGAGGGGATGTGCTTCATCACATGGCTTCTATCCCCAACTTGGTGTCAAGTGATTCCTATCTCTTTATTGAACTGAAGAATTGATCAGGATGCCAAAGAGGAGCTTCAAAGCAAATTCAGGCCCATTTCACTTCATTGGCAGCAAAATTCATCAGAGGATATCAAAAAAGTCTTCCCCAGATACAACAAATGCCTGAATCTTCACAGTGATTGTGTAGAAAAGTGACCTTGATTGTACAATAATTTTTTTCTTTGCTTGTCTTTTTTAAGGCTCTTTGGATGTTGAATAAAAATCCCTCACACATTCCGAAAAATACAAAAACATGCTGTGACACCAACACACTCGCTTCACATTTAAAGACTCCTTACACAATTTCAAATTTTATCACTTCTAACATCTAATTCTGGTAGTATTTATTTTCATTTCACAATTAAGGCATGCATTCATTTTATAGCATATTCTCCTTATTCTCCAACCAAAAATGCACATGATCTTTAGATAAGTATATAACACCATTAGGGAAAAAACACCTAGGAAAATGCACTTAGTGCCCTCAGCATCCAAGTTATTTTGTATGCATGAACTACATAGTCACACAAGGTAAAAAAATTGGAAAAACCAAAACTAAAGTAATAGAAAAAATTAAATTAGTAGTTATATAATGCACATATTTCTTTATAATAAAACAGAAAACCTTTGTCTCAATAATTTTGAGCATTAAATGAAAATAAAATAAAATAAAATGTGAAATTATTATAACTGATTTTCAAGTTCTACAAGAAAGGTACTATTACAGTAGCTGTCAGTAGACAATACAAATTATGTAAGGAACAATCAGATAAAAATTACATGTGTATTGTCATATGACATATTTGCCAAGAATAAAAGATCTAATTGATCTTTTCATTTCAATAGGCACAATGATATGTCAAATGCATTAACAAATAATTTTCTGGGCAATGTTTTATATACTTACAACTAAAAATCCACATGAGCTTATTTACAAACTTTAACTAGATACGTAAGTCTAAAAATATTTCTCCAACTGTGCAAGGAAATACTTTCATCACATCAAAATGCAAATCTTCATTCACATTAACATCATAAGACATGTTGTAAATAAAAGAAGACAACATAATATGATGTCATGTTTGAAAGATCACCATAGAAGTAAAACTGAATTAAAAATAAAATTACAAAGGAGATAGCTCTAGCAGGAAGATTAAAGCTAAGTCCTTAGCAAACATTAATACATGATGAACATAATACATATGATGCATGCAAATAAACCTCATAATTCTGAGTTCTTGTACACCAACTAAAACTTTGTACGCAACATCACACCACATCAATATTCTAATGTGATTATTCTCAAACTGGGACCTGCCCACTATGTGCTTAATATGAAACACAAAAAATTCATGCCAACCAGAAGAATAAACAATGATTACACAACAGATTACCATGCATTGCTACCAGAGTCATCTTAATCAACAAATCCTCTATGACAGGGCCCAGGGCTTGGAAATTTCTTCTGAATCTCTAATAAGTATTACTAAAAGTACTAAAAGTAAATTCAATTCAAAAATAATTGACAATTACAAGTAAAAGAAATTTTTTTTATGGTGAAAAGATGTTAGTTTTAATAATATGTAATAATGGGAATACTTCTGCAAGCTTTCCCAAGTCAATTTTTGAAATTATTAAATGATGATACATTAAACATTAAATACTAGAGAAGTGTTGTCGCATTCCTAAAAGGCTTCCCTACTTAATTTTCACTTAAATGTTAATTACATAAAACTTCCCATGCTATTAAATGTGAGTTAAAATCACTTGAGACCGATTTCATAGCAGTTTATCCTCTCCTGGAATAGAGAAGAAATCAACTACAGACTATTAAAAAGATTGAGTATCTTTGTTTGGTCTACAAATTAACTAAAACTACTGTACAAAAATATGAGCCCAACTTTCCATGGGGCCCTTAGACCCTAAGACATTCAAGGCGACTCTGATTGCTGCATTATTTGTAAAACAATACTGCAGCCAATGCACTGTAGTAACCGAATCAGGGAGCAAACCAAGATGAAGACCACCTGACTTCTCCTGATTTGTAGCAGAAGAAATGCCTTCTGCAAAAGGAACACAGTTGAGCAAATTTGGCTATGCTCAAGCGTGAAAACAGTGATGCGAGAAGAATGGGATTTCTATGCCCCTTTATTTTTGCCCCGTCCAGCCTCTCCAGAAGGAGGCGATACTGGCTGCTGCACTTGTCACCAGGCCCCCTGCCATGCTTGTGGCGTGTTGTGTATTAGTGAGGGCTTGTGGCAATGCAACAGTATTAACACCTGGGGCACTCTCTGGACATGCCACACTTTGAACCTGAGACAAAATACAATTTACAGATCACAATCACAACATCAAATATCTATATCAGTGGCTTCCAAAATTAGGAATATGTACCCTCAGGGATACAGGTAATTGCTAAGTCATGGAATGTTTTTTTCTTTAACTCAACAACTATAGATTTAATGTATGACATGTCATGCAGGGAGATAGGAGAGGTAGGAAAAAGGAAGGGGAGATTAGGGTGAGACAAGGGAGGAGGGGATCGCAATGGGCAAGAAAAAAGAAGGACGATGGATGTGAAGCATGCAAAATAAAAGTGAAATTCATATTTTCACAAGAGGCATTCTTGTCAAGAAGCATTCCAGATAAATCAGAGGATCAGTGAGACAGAAAAGTATGCCAAAGAGGGTTTTCTTTTAAGAGCACACTGTACACAAAAACAAAGCATAGAAAAATGATACAAGAATCTTGACAATCTCTTCTTTTTCCACAAAATCATTACATTAGACAGCGTATAAATTAAACCACAAAATCTTATGTAACAAATACATAAACAGAAAAAATTCAAGAAAAATACATAAACCCTGAGATACATATACGTGCAATTCAGCAGTGAAGGTTATAAGAATATGGAACTAGTGGAAACCACAAAGAACTCAGAAAGGCTACAATGTGTTACATCAAAGTTATTATTGTTTGGTTATCTTGTTAATAAATTAACAATAGGTACTAACTTTTGATTGTTAATAGTACATTTCATTCTAATGGTTTTCTTGTAACAATAGGCAGGAAAAATGGGAAACTGATACATCACAGTGAAGCACAGTGATCAAATCCTATTTACCAAACGCTGATATAAGAAATAAAAAGCATATAGTATACGGCCTTTTATCATCGCAACAAAAAATAATGTAGGCAATGTTATTTGAGAAAGTTTGATGCAAATGGTTTTCTGTTGACAATGTTCATTTACAGAAAATTACCCCTTTTCCTGCTTCTGACTGCAATACAAACATTTTGCAATATACTGAGGTACATGGCACCTGCAAAGTATAGAGAGACACAAAACAGCAAAACTACACTAGAAACAAAAATCGTGCTGCCCTTATGAAGAGTTTCCCATTGTCCAAATCACCCTCCTTAATAACTGAAGACATTGTAGCTCTAGCACGAGTGCTGGTGCAGGCAGAGTATTTGTATTGCATGTCTAGAAGTAGTGAAATCTAGTTTTCTCAAAACAAAGGGAAATGAATTGCACCTAACTTCAAGTAATGATACGCGCCGACATCTTGGGGGGGGATGTCAGAATATCTGAGGTCTATTTGTTCATAAGAGATGAAGCTTAATAGATGTAAGATTAGAACAGATAACAGAAAACAAATGGAAATTTTAAAATACATTTATTTCCCGAGTAAAATAAATCTGGAAAATCTATGGAACCAGAATCAAATTTTGGTGTTGATTATGGAAATAACCAGATGAAAATATTTTACTGTTATGTACTACATTGAGTGAAATAACTTGGTATTTAACAGAAAAAAATTAAAGCATTTTTAAAATGTGATTCTTGTTTATCCATTTTTGTGTATTGTGTTGACAATTTTCGTATTGCAATCTGGAATGTTGCGTTACATTTATGAATCCTTTTACAATACACCATGTTAGCTTCCTTAGTTTTGGGCACCAAAGTAATTATATACAAAAGCACAAGTTGGTACACAAATCTGTGATTAGGCATTGCATTATTTTTTTAAATCTTACCAGGCAAATGTTTTAAATGTAAAGCTCACAGGAGGTAAAAATTGAAATGGTGACATCCAATGTTAAAAGCGAAAAGTCTCAGGGAAATAGGGAATGAGAATAAAAATATTACATAAAAGTGTATGAGAGTTATATTCGAGTCCATATTAATCCTTATTTAGAGTTTTAATAAGTTGTATTAGATATATTCAATACTAAACATTCAAAAATTTTAAGGGCCGAAAGAAAAGTTTTCTTTAAATCTAAAATACAGGAAGTACACTGAAATGGACAGCATGAAAAATGACAAACAAGACGCACACATTACAATGTTTTATATAAAAATGAAATAAAATAGGCAGTAATTTATTAAACTAACTTCAACTTTTGTGTTAATACTCACAGTTTCCCATTCATATGGAAGAGTATCGCTTTCATCCTCAGAGCCTGAGTCTTCATTACATTCAAGGTCTTTGGTCAGTTGATCTTCTAGAAACTTAGTTAAAAGCAAATCTATTTCTAGTGGACCTTGCCTACACAGAACAAAGAAATCCCAACACAATGTGATAAGGTTCCAGAATATTACAATATTGGAAAAAAAATAACAGAAATATAACCTTTAATTATTTTACTTTTTTTTATTCCAATAGCATACATTGGTGGAACGGAAAAATGGAATGTGAATTTTAAAAGTTCTTGGAAGTACTGATGTTTTAATCTTAGAAACCTAGCTTCTTTATTACAGTAAAACCTGTCTAAGGCAGAACCTGGATAAGACAGAAACCTGCTTTAGGCAGAAAAAAAATTTTAGAGTGGACTATTTTTTGATGCTAAATACACTGGATAAGAAGGAAACTTGCCTAAAGTGGAAATGGAAAGGAATTTCTATTTTTTATCGTGGTTGCCACAACATTCACAAGTACTTATGCAAACAGCCATAGCCTAAACCATCAGATAAATTCATCTTTTCCTACAAACATTCAAGAAAATAATGTTTCTTTAAAGTTTTATGAAGTTCTTTGTTTTATTAGACCTCGTGTTGTGTTTCAGTATGTCATTTTCTTTGTCTCTCCCAGGACGTCTTTTCTTTGAAATGTAGTTCATAGGTGAGATAAACCACTTGTACAACTCATTCCATCTTTGAACAATTGCGTTTTCTGAATTGAGTTTTTATTGCAAAACTGAATAAGATGGAAATCTGTACAACGTAGAAGAAAATGTTGAACCCAAACATTTCCGGCTTAGACAGATTTTACTGTAGCATGGTTTATATTGGAATTTCTCTAACACATTCTTCAATCACTCAAGTCTGCATTTGGGTTAATCAATACATTTTCTTGTATAAACTGCTCATTCTTATTCCGTCTAAATTATGCCTCCAATATTGGTAAAAGAAACAATAAATTTGTATCTGATGTCAAGAACAGATAAACATTCCTCCAATGACCAAAAATACGCAGAGCATTTGTTCCAATAATTTGTGATTCAGAGAAAAAAAAGTCTACATTACTTTTTCACACCTTATCATATTAATCAACCGTTTTTGGAACACCTCTGCAGTAGACAAGCATTACCAATCATTTTTCTGAATTCTTTTTTTCAAAAGCAACATTTCAAACATTAATTTTTGTGATTTGGATACTTTTCAATCCTGTTATATCCAATTTAGTTTTATTACCTCTTATATACCTGTTCAATTACACAGTATTTTCACTTTCCTATTGCAAAGAAACTTACATCAAAACGGTCATGTAATAGTTTTCGCCACAAAAGAAAATCTGGATATGCTTTTCCAAAGTAATAAATGGTTTGTTGATGGGACTCCCAAGGTAATTTCAAGCCTATTCATGCAGTTGTTTGCGAAAATGGGTTTAATTGAAAGAAACGACATTCATACAAATAATGAAGTCCAAAGTGCTCTGTACATTGTTCGCTAAGGAACAAAGATAAACATTCTTATGCAGAAGTATTCCAAAATGAAGTTCAAAATATTAGGACTCTGATAGCATTTCCAAGCAAAGTAAAGTGTGGTTTCGAAAAGGCTATAACAAACAGCATATCAAAAGTGCATTTTCTTGTTGTTTCTTCCATTGTGTACAGAAGGATACAAGCAGAAGAACTACAGGAACAATAAAATTACTTTGAAAACCGCCAGATCAAAACAGAAACGCACAAGATGTTAACACTTGCTTTTGAACCCATCCAGAACATGCTAATCTGATGGAGCGGATAGTAAAAGCAATACCTCAAAACAGTGGTTAACTAGAACAGGATTAAAGCTATTGTTTTGGCATATCCTCAATGCAAAGAAGAAAATCTATGGCTGTAATTTCTTCATTACATTAAATATAACTTCATTAAATAGCTTCATAATACATAAATTAAAATTAATATGAATAAAATTTCTATGAACTGAACGTATTTGGAATATTAATTATTTTTTAGTATTCTGGAAAATTATAATCAGAATTTTGATTTTGAAAACAAGAAAATAGGAAAAATGACTTTCGGAAATCTTCAGATTCAGAAACTTAAATTCAGAAAATTGGTTATCATGGAAAAGATTTGTTACAGGTTATTTTTTTATTAATAATAATAATAATAATAATAATAATAATAATAATAATAATATTGACATGGCTTTCATTAGTGCTTATGACAAAAAAAGCAAACTGCCTACATGTAATGCGTAATAGGAATAAATGGAAAGAATGGGGGGAAAATTGTGTTTTTCTAGGAAGTTACAAAGGAAAACACAAGGACAGTCATTAGTACTTTTATCAGTCATTTAGCTACACATACTCTCCTCCTCCTCCACTAACTCGATAGGTGGTTTTTATTTTTGGCCAAAAAATAAATAAAATATACACAGAAAAAGAACAACATATTTCCATACCTTCCAAGATCACTAACTTCAGTATCCAGAAGATGCAGAATGTTCTGTAAAGTATGGGATGGATGCAACAAATTAGGATTGACATTTTGTGAGAAACACAAATGTAGAACATTAGAATTCAATCTTGCTACTCTTCTTATAAATTGCGGTGTCTTTAATTCATGACCACAGAAATCACTAGAACAAAGGGAAAAAAACAATATTCTACACTAAAGAAAAATTAAAAAATTGTTAGTCTAAAGATTATAACAAACAGAAGATACAAAAACTTGATAAAGCTCTTGATGAAACACCACAAACGACTTATTTTAATTGAGCAAATAGCTTTGTTTTCTAGTTCAGTCTACTGAATTTAACTCTATATTTAAATGTGATATAATGCAAAAAATTAGACATCAAAAAAATGTCTATAAAATCTTTTTATACTTGGAAGAGCATTGTAGTAAATGGATCTTTAAAGCCCTGAAGTAGGATTTACAACTTGTAATGTGAGAAATGTTGGATAGAATTCTAATTACTATTTTGTGGTAGTCAAATTTTTGACTTTGTTGAGTTAGGTGGCACAAGTCACTTTAGGTGGCATGCGTAAACGCAACAATCCTGTGACACAGGCCTAAAGGACTGGCTGCATAAAGTGCGAATCTCAGTGCTATCTTTTCTGGCTAGCATGCCTATGCCAGGCCTGTGCGACTTCTAAGTACCAAGTACTGCACTTCAGCTTCCGGGTCAATGACTGGTAACAAGTAATGTACTTCAGCTTCCAGTCTCATTTCAGGTTTTGTCCAGGTTCCCTGATCCATTGAGCAAATGCTGAGATGGTCCCTTGTTTTGCTTCTGGACATATTTTCATGCAAAATTACATGAAAAGTACTCAAATTTTCGAAAAATTATACGTGACATTTCAAAATCTATCTTAAGCAACAGATTTCATTAAGCAAAAAAATCTCTATTTTTAAAATTTTAGTTGTAGAAAGATGCTGAAAATATTTTGAATTTTTGCAATTCATCAGGGTTTTCAATGAACATGAGACCTCTTAAATGTTCTTCACACTATCCAACAAATGTTTTAAAAAATGGAGCCAGTTTTTGAAAATTTGGAAAATGTCCAAGAGGAATTATGTAAAGTACCCCCAAAAATTAAAATATCGGTTTCAAATTCAAGGGGCCATGACATCAGCAAGAATGATTGAGGATCATCAATTTTGGAGAAAATCGCCTGAATGGTTTAGCAGCAAACGTTGTTCACAGACAGATGGACAGACAGACATTTTGCCATCACTGGATTTTTTGGTATCAAGGACCCACAAAACATTGATTCTAGGCACACCAAAGTGTTATGGGATTTTTTTTCTTCTCGATTTAGCAACTGGATTTATCCCCTTTTTCATAACCAGGGCCCCGTAATAGGAGTTTTTCTAGTTAAAATTCACCGTTTTTCCATGCAGCATTACATTACTTAAAAGACAGTATCACATGATGTGAGAGGTATGCATTTGTGTGAAAGGTAGGTAGGGAGGGAATGTATTTCCTCACTTGGAAATCATCTTCCCATTTAACCATTTACCAATTCTATAATTACTTGGTAACTCAACAAATTTTGTTTTACTAGTCTTGGCAGTTGTCATATATACGTTTTCGTATATACCTGTTTCAATCTTTAAGGAACTTTATGCATTGCATTAATTAATAATTCTTACTGTAAATGTGTTTTCTTAAGCAAAAATTGAAAAATATGCGAATCAATACTTTTTTTTTATTGATCCGTTATTGCTTGTTATTGCTTTCAGTACAGAGCTCGATATTCACCAAATAACTTACCGGGATCGAGAACATTGTGGTGATAAGGGAATATGAAAACAGTTGAATGTTGTTACAAATTCTCTTACAGAGGGAATTATGAAAGGGATTCATGGGAAGGAAATACGAAAAGTCAGAGTCAAGTTAACGACTAGGTAATTAGTAAATAAATAAATCTGAATCATTAAAATTAAAAAAAAAACAAAATTGTGTATGTACCACGGGTGACAATCATGTATATAATGATCTTGGGCCACAAAAAGCCCTTGGGCAAAAGGCTGTCAGGCTTTTTGTCACCACTCTTATCAGACCCTTATAACGCCTTAGTGCATACATAACATTTAGTGCCCAAAACTCTCAAATCTGCAAAATACGCAATTTAAGCAAAAAGTTTTCTATCTCAGATTCAATATTTTGCCATGAAACAAGAAGATTTTAAGTTTCTGAGAGATAGAACCATTAAAAAATAACACACACAACAGCATGAACATCCCACCATTAATCACAATTTATATAATTATTAGAAATGCACATGATTCCAAGTTAAATTTCAGTATATGTAAATGTCGCAAAGATAATTGATATGATAGTTGCAGAAGAATCTACCTACAAGATTAAACACAAACTTAACGTACCTGTAACATAGTTTCGTAGGAAGTCGAACATCCAAATAAAATGCTAAAATATTGACAAGTTGAGTGGTGTATGTGAGGGCAGCACTTATGTTATACGCAGGGTTATGCACTTCAAAATCACCACCAGCTCCCGGGACTCCATCTTTGTTGGCGGCCACTGAAATACTTCCATTCGATTAATATAGAATCATAAGTGTAATAACTATAATGTGCCCCATCCAGAAAACAAGAAGGTTCACAACAGAAATTAATAACTATTTCAATAACAGAGGTGAATAATTGTCCTACCCCACATGTTATATGCAGAATAATCTCCAGAATCTGGAAGCCAGGGGGCAACAATGCAATGCTGTAGTTCTCCTGAACTGTCGGTGAAGACCCAGTGACCACGTATGTAGGCTGTCCTTGTTGCATCTGCCAAGGCACTTACAGTATCCAGTGGCTCTGTTTCAGTCTCTCTAATAAGCAGATAGAAAGGGTAGGTACATAAAAAAATTAATAAAATCTACTAGTTTACAATTGCGAAATCATATAACATTTGCTTTATATTTTTTTTTTGTCAGCTTCTCAAATTATTACTTAAACACTGTTCCTATGAGACATACCAGGCTCTCGGGGTAATAGACTTAATTTCGTAACAATTGAAAGTCTGATGGCCCCACATTGGACCACACATTGCACGATTCTACTACAAGTCACACTGAAAACCGAGATATCAAAATGCTCTCCACTAACTACTACACATTTCTTGCTCTGACTAACTGTGTACTGACATTACCTCTTCATTAAAAAATCTGTTAGAAATTTTCTTTAAATATAATCTGTACCTGAAACTCTGATTTGTATCTTGGGTGGATTGTTTTCATTTGTAGAATGTTGTAAATTGCAAGCCCATTAACCAGGAGATACCACAACACATTACTGGAACATGTTATGGCCCTTCTTGCACTTTGATATATGACACATCAGACATTCAAAAACTTTGTGCTGAAGTGAAGCAGCCAGCTGCATACTGTATTTTCAACATATCCCATTTAGTTCTTTATGAACAATAAGATGGAGAAGAGGAAACATGGTGTAGCAAAATGGCAGCTGTGATCGATAATAGCAATTGACCCCCCTCTTTGTACCTGTGATTAGAAAACTTAATAGTGTTCAATAGTTGCATTGTTTGCTATTGCAGTAGAGAAGTCCCTAGGGGTATACCAACATACAAAACTTTTCTGATACAGTTTCCTATTCGATTCTTAGTGCATAAAAATGCTGGTTGCCACTGAAGTTGTGGTCAGATTAATCTTCACCAGCCATTAAAGATGGCGGAAGAGCCACTAATTTGACCTCGTTATCTTTAAAACCCCTGGTCAGAGCTATTTACTTTTTATTTTAAATGAAAGGTAATAAAGTATTCTTTAAGAAATGTTGATCATACACTAGTTTTAATACCTCTTTCCATTTTTGCATTAAGAGCATTTTTTTGAAAATGTGAAGCAAGATACGATTCTGGAGATATAAACACAAATTCCATTTTTATAACAACTTTTTTAGTTTCTTAGATACATTACTTGTGGATACATATTGTTAAATCGGGGACTACATTTTTATATGTATTACATTATATGTATACACATTAATATTCATCAACAATTTTCAACAGAAATAATGTCTGTATTAATTTAGTACCACTTACAACTATATATTCCCCAGTTCCTCTTTAACATTGAAACCAGATGCACTCTTTAAATGAATTTTACTACATTTATGTCTCAACAGGTCTCATGCTAAGCAAGTTACTGAATATTTACCAATTAATAACTAGAAAATAAAAGAGAAATTGGAATTTCAAAAGGATATAATAGATACTGTAGAATGAAAACAGCTTCAGTGGTATGGACAGTGGACATTTGATGTAGTAAGTAGCCGCCGCCCCACCTCGTCTCTCATCTCTCTCCTTCCCCCTTCTCCCTCATCTCTCTAGTCTCTTCTCACATAATGCGGTAAATAAATATTATTATTCAAAATCAGACTTTTGGCTCATCATACAAGACCAGAACATGTATCACAACAATTTTGCTTGTCAGTTATTTTTTTATAACAAATGGTGAATCATTCTGTTCAACTGCAATTTCATCAGCATAACTGTTCCAGTCAGAAGCCCAACTCCAATGTCACTCATGTATAGAACGAATAGTAGTGGTCCTAAGATAGATCCTTGAGAAACTTCACTAGTGATGAATGTTTACCACCAATGCTTGCTTATCTGGAAAGTTATACCACAAAGATATTCTTGGATCTAGCCTACCAATTTTCCTCGTATTCCCAAGAATTTGAGTTAATGAAATAGTTCGTAGCGTAGGACTTCATCAAACAACTTTTGCATGATCTAAATTGATAATGTCCACAGGTTGACCTGCATCCAAGACACTCTTCCAAACATCAAGGGAGCTAATCAGATTTGTTGTTGTTGTTGTTGTTGATCTTCCAGCCATCAAATTGTGCTGCTGTTTTGTAATGTAGTTCATCCTTTGAACACAGACTAGCCCTAAATTTCCTGGAACTAATTTCTCTGACTTTTCCAGGTTTCCTGGTGAATTTTTTCACTTTTCACTTGCAAGATTAGTTGAGTATTTCACACTTAAAAAAATTAAAGCAAGCCTGATACTAATTTGCCAGTTATATGATTTCACTATGACGAAGTACACATTTTTTTTTTAATTCTCAGCATATAAAAATTTGAGTCACTATTATTGCTGGACTAAATTGGTAAAGGAATAATATCTAGTTATACAACTAACTATCTCAAAATAATTCCTGCCTTCTAAGATTCTTCTACAAATTCCCTGATTTTTTCCACACCTTTACAGAGAAGTGAAATTCCCTGATTTTTCGTAGTTTTCCATGTTTTTCTGAAAGTGGCTAGCTGGTTGGTCCCAAAGATTCTGGACAATCAATATCTTCATGATTTTCCTGTCTATATCTGTAGTTAATGGTTTTCTGTTAGTCACCTGTCTTGAAAATCAGTGTTAGGGTTGATTTTTATTCATATAAATGGTAATTTTCCTGTGTCTATGGATTTCCTAAAGATACTGTTTGATAGTGGTGCAAACTAACTTGCACAATTATTAAGGTATTATGTTGGAATACTGTTATTAGGTATTACGTTGGGATGGCGTCCCACAATCAAGTCCCACAGCAACCTCCGCTATCCATGCTGGCACTCCAGCCTTTGACCATAATATTAAAATAAAACATCTTTGGGTCTGTCCAACACATTTCCACAGCAACTCTGATATTGCGTTGTAGTCAGCTCTGTAATAATTCAGTCTCTAGATAAGTCATTCTCTCCACTGGTCTCAATTTGTATGGATATTGTTTTCACCAAATGATACTCAAGCCTCTTTGTGGTCTTGGGTAGAGTGGTATTATATTTTCATTTGTTGCCAATACAAAGTCAAGCAATCCTGGACTGATTTAATCTAATTCTTGTTGGTTCCATTACCATCTAGCTAAGATTTGAGTTAATGTATTAATGAGAGAATACATGCTCCGTTTCTGTTTTGTCATGAGCTCCCTGTTCAGTCCAGACACTGGAAAATTTATGTTTCCAAAGATCATAATTAAAAAATATGTTGATTTCCTATGTAGACAGTCTCAAAGAATTTTTGATAATCTAGTTTGTCGCAAAGCACAATGTCACTGGTCTGTAAATATCGGCTATAATGATTTGAATTCCACCCATTGATTTTCAAGCATAGAACATACTTGCATACAAGCCTACAGCATCAAGGATAGTTTCACTTATAAATCAAAATTGTTCAAAAACTGCTAATACTTTGAAAATAGTGTAAAGAAAATAATTTAACAATCTAATATCACAGAACAAATTGCATTAATAAGGAAAAGATTTTTTTCTTCATCTTTCAGAATGTAGTTGTGGGAGTCAAAAAACTCAATTTTGAAATTTTTCAAATTCCAGGGGTTTTAATGAAAATACGACTCACATCTTATGAACCAAATTTGCTCCCATTCATGCACAAAATTTAAAAAAAAATTTTGGAAGTAATTGAGGTTTTAATGAAACTCTGACCTGCAGCATATTTCTAAGCGTAAAATGCTCTACTGAAGCAAAATAAGTAAAGAAATAATTTGAAGCAATTTTTCAGAAAATTTCAAAAATATTCACCTCTTATTAATGTCTGTATTCACCTCAGTACCCATACAAATAATTTGCTTGTCCTCGATTACCACAGGCAGAAATGTTAAAAATGTTCTAGTGCAATTCCCAGTAAAGTGCAGAATATGATTTTCTAGCATAAATTCAATCTCCAGTCACCCTACATGTGCTTAACTAAATATAACTAAGTGGTATGCATCATAAAGTCAGCCTTTAGCACACCCAAACCTCAATCAAATCACAATGACAGCCCTACTACTGTGTATGTCCATAATTGCTGATATTTTCGAAGGTGGTGTTATGTGCTTTGTCCCAAGTTTCCAATTCTCATGAAAATCAAATAAAGATAGGAAACTCCCAGATCGTATATTAGCTCCACCTCCAAACAAGTTTCAACAGATTTTACTGTATTCAAAAACTACCTTTAACAATGTGCCAGAAAACTTCATTGACAACTGCTTCATAGCATCACACAAGATGATCTGTAATAAAGATTTGGAAGTGAAAGGTTGAATTGAATTGATGCCTTATTTTATGTGGGGAGACTCAGGCATGAGGCCTGCTCTTCCATCTGACCACGCAAATTTCGCTACAATCCTTTCACTAACTAGCAGAGAAAGGAGGTATTTCTTAGGCGAGAAACAGGCGATTTGAATTTAGCTCAGAGGCCATTGCAAATGTTTGGTGACAAACATACCTAATGACAGGAAGACCATGCCAAGTAACTCCTTCAGCCTTCATCCCACCACTCCAAACAGCAACTCCTGAGCTCTCTTCTTCATTCTCAGGACTTGCAGACTTCACACCTGGAGGTACCCTACAAAATACGAAATTAATATGTAACTTCAAATGAAAAAATTAATCAAAAGTATGTCATAAAATGTTCATTGAAAGATTGAAAAGGAGTTTAATTCAACTCTAAAAGAGACAGATACACAGTTTATGGAAAAATAAATTATTGCCAATCTAATGTTTTGCCACCTTGAAATTAATGTTCAACACAAAGAGAAACAAACAAAATAAAACTAGTGGTGCTCAGTAGCACATACTTTTTCACATTATAGGTAACCGCTACAAAATATTATAATAATTCATTAATCTGACATGTTTCCAACCAGCAATCATTTTTCTTCCCAGTTGAGATTCGAATTCAGGCCCTTAGGAGTTTACACACAAGGCACATTACCGCATCATCAGCTGCACAGCTAAACTTAACCTTTTTGGCGCTTAAAAATTCAAACATTTGTTATGTAATGTTAAAAAATTCAGAGATTTTTATTTTCATTATTTTAAGATCTAATTTTAAAGAACAGATTTCATTAAGGAAGAAATCTCTATCAACAAAATTACAATTTTCAAAAATACAGTCATTTCATCAATGAAATACAAATCACTGAAAATATAACCTGAAGTTTCCATTTGCTTTTAATATTTTTTAAAGCGTCATTTGCTCCATCCAAGGAAACGTTTGGAGTCATTTGCAAAAAAATTGTTTAAAAATTATCTATACCTCATGCAAAATTACATGAAATTTACTTATTTTCGAATAATTGTACATGACATTATTCAAGATCTCAATAATATTCATTTCAAACTTGCACAGTTCATCAAGATTGATTGAGGAAGATCAATTTTGGAGAAAACCGTAATTTACCCAGATTTACCCACTTTTTCAAACTCGAGGTCTCACAATATGGGTTTCTCTATTGAAAAATCATCAATTTATGCCACAGCATTACAATACATTCTCTTTGCTACAAAAGTATGTAGTAAAACGAGAAAAATAAAAAGGGCAGAAAATAAAAAAGTAGCTGCATATACAATTTTTAATTATACAGATTTATACCTATGTAAAGGTGAAAATTTCGATGTAAAAGAAATTATTCATTGATAAAATAGGTTCCATATACATGTATCAATGAATAATTTAAAACAGTCAATAGATCATTATTATAATTAAAAGGTAAATTTCTCAGAAAAACTTCTGCATTTAATATTTCCAGGACGTGAAATTCAGCTTCATAAACTTGACATTTCGAATGCATAAACCAGAAGCTAATCTACCATGTCTTGAATTTCCATGAATGTCTATAACTAACGAAATAAAATCACTCATTGAAATGAAAAAAGGACAACTATTCTTAAAAAAATTAATTTCTACTTAAAAAAAACAGTCTTACAAAGGATCTGAATAATTCCCATTCCTTATTTATTCAATAAGATGTCATGGATTTCACGATCGAAAGGCAGCTAGTCAAATATTTTTCAATGTGTGCAAGATATCAAGCACTTCAATGTTAATAAGCATTGTATGAAAGGATGTAAATTTCAATCTCATTTAACGTAAGTAATGTTACATTAATTGGATTGTAAATAACAAACGAATTTCTTTTGTACTAATTTTTGTAACTCTACATTTATATTCTTGAAGTAATGACTCTTCAATTAAATTTCATTTTGGTGTTCTATTTAAAGTAAATATCATAACATTTACTCATGCTCTAAATCAAATATAACAGAAGATATACCTGGTTACAGGTTGAGCTTGTGCAATGGGAAAAATATATTGAACTAATTGGTGAACATTGGTTCTGATAACATTTTTTAATTCTTCATGGAGAAGGTGCATGTTAGCTCGGCGCTTCTCAGCATCCATGCCCATCTGAACAACGTATCTCTCCAATTTACATATACGCTCTTCATAACGTGGCAATCTGTCACTACGATGTGCATTTGCTTCCTGAAGATTTGTAACCTTGGATTCAGCTGGAAACATCAGCAATATCAGTACACAGAAATTTATATTTCAATGGTTAACATTTTATTCAATGCAAGGAAAGGTTCAATAAAAGGTTTATTAATAAGTAACTCAACACATTACCTATAGATATATTCTCCTTAGTTTCCTGAATAAGCAACTTCAGCAACCTAACACGTTCACGGTATGCAAATATTTCACATTGCTGCGAACAAAAATTGGCAAATTGAAATAACTCACACAAAGAACCCCAATACATAAATATCACTTGCTTTGCAAAAATAAAATTAAGTTTTAACACTACAAAATAAGAATATGAGAAATACGTAAATGGTTAAATTGACCAGTATTGAACTGAAGAGAATATTTGTTAATAAAGGTGGAATTTTATTGATTTCAAACTTTTGGTCCATGGGATTGGCACTTTCCTCAGGTAAGGCAAGAAAGAAATTTGTGGTTTTTACAATGGAAATACAAGCTAAAATTGAAAAATTGTTCATATCATAATATTAGCGTGCACCTCTTTTGTAGGACACACACATTTCTCTCTTGCATCTATTGAGGAAGGTTCCAAGCTCCTGGGACAAAATGTTGACACAAACTTAATTCAATCACTAGTAACAAGTGAGGTCAGAGGTTTAAAAGTTGTCATTAATATAACAATATAATACTAAATTTCTAGCCAATGTTAAGAAATTATGAAACACATGATTGAAATGGACACCTTTTAAGGAGGAACAATATTCAGAAAGTTGTAATCAAAATAAGGAGAGAGCTACACAATGAAAAGCTGAAGTCATACTGCTGTAAAAGAAGTTCAATGAAATCCATTCTAAAACAATTTACAAAATGTTGATGAATTACTGACTATCCTCCAATCACTAGGGCTCGGATATTTATGTAAATACATATTTTTCCCCTTTTATGTTGAGCTTTGAAAGTTAAATAGAAATTCAAACAGAGCCTCATCATAATTTCCATATACTAAATTGCACATTGTCTAACAATAATTATTTTAATGAAATAGCATAAAAATAAATGTATTCATCAAAACAAATAATACATATTTTTCTAAATTTTGTATCAATAAATTAATATTTTGTGTATTTTGAAATTTAATGCTTTGGAATTTTGGGATATACGGAGAAAAATGTGCCAGTTTGAAATGTGGTGGTTGGTCACAAATCACATGTTACTGAGGGTTCCCTGATTGATTGGAAAGAGTCTGGTTCACAACCAGCCAATGGGGCCTGAGGGCCAATTCCCACTTTGTCAATTCAGCTGAGTGATAACATCCAGTCATAATCTGAGCAGCTCCCAAACTTCCTCAGATTGCACAGACAATACGTGTAGTGATAAAGAGGATAACGTCATATTTTACTTGAGGCTTCGCTAATTCTTGGTTACTGGTTTCTTATGAGTATATTCAAAGAACTTACTTTTATATTCAATTGCAGTTCACAAAACCTATTTAAGGTAAGATTATGGTAACCTTTCAATATTTCTTAGGCAAAAAAGAAGACAAAATCTCATGGGACTACAATATAATCTGGTTAACAAAAACTGAAACTTAACACAACCTCAGTAAATTAAAAACTCAGCACAAACGGAAAAGTGGTGACCACAAGCATTGTGAAACCAAAGTGACTTTTTAGTACATTCAAAATATTAAAAACTTCAGAAATGAGTATTTTACACATCTCAAAATGGGCAGATATTTTTGGCCACATCATATCCTAAGAGAAGTAATAAAACACTCATTAACAACAAATAGTTTCAATGTCATAATATTGTTTTCTCTTATTTAATGATTCGAGTTCAAGATTTTGAAGTTGTTTATCTGGCAACGGCTCCTCAAAATCGCCTGGTATAAATGTGGCTATGCTTCCCCTCTGCACATTTCTTAATAGGGTTATGTCCTCAACAAAACAAGGATTCCATAAATTTGCATTAAATTGAATAATTGGAAGAATAAAATAACAAATTCTGTTTTCTCAAACAATTTTACAAAGAAAATAATTATAAAAGAATAGTAAGAATAAGAGATTATTAAGAAATTAATAAAAAGAGCACTACTGAAAAAATATTCCATCACAATGGAACATTCCATCACATCCCTACAAAAAATATTCCACCAGAAATCTCATCACAATGTGATGATCAAACATTCTTTTTTTAATTTTGATTTGGGACTTCACAATAGATACTGCTGTAGAAATTCAAGAAACAGAAAATGACATTCTTTAGAAGATAGTAATAAATTTTCTGCTCATCAACATTCTCAAATGAGAGTACAAGGTTAATGTTAACCAATCTTGCAATCTGGTTGTCTCTCTGTCAACATCATTACCTGCTGTCACACAATCACATGAAAACTGCCAAACTGGAATATAAATAACAGCTTCAACACCCAAGCAGTTCTGATTTGGGTCTGAATAATTTTTATTTCTAAATTCTGACCCAACAATATTTTGTGCAGAGTTTCAGTTAGCTGCTGAAACATCAGGATAAATGCCTAAACACTCCTAACACGTTAAGCAGAGAAAAGATGAAGAAAGCACCTATCCTTTCCATGTGTAACATTGCAAATTAGGAACTTTAAAACATTAACGAAATGAATCTAGTATAATTTAATATTCTTTTCAGATAAGAAAAATGATTGACCATGTGTCCTTGACAGTAATTTGAATCAAATGAAAAATTATCAGTGACAATGGTGCTGCCTCTTGATATACCTTTTTAGCATCACAAAATTCTTTGATTTCTTATGTATGCATGCAATTAAAGCAGATACTTGTGTCTCTTGGGCTAAATAGGAAAATAAATAACTTTTAATGAAATGCAAGCAATTCAAAGCAAGACACATCATACATACAAAATTAGATTTAACACAATACTTTACAAAAAACAAAACTTTTATAACTAACTTGTATTCAAATTTGATTTTTACTCTCTGGTGAATATATTTTCAAAACTTATTAAATTAATGTGATGAGCTGTAAGTTTAAGATGTAAACTAATAATTAATATCTTATTAATTATTGAAAGTGTTATATAATATACTTAAGCATATGAATATTCTACAAAACATTAAAATTCACCCTAGAAAAGAGAATGTAAAATCTTCCAAATTCTTATATTTTCTGTTCATCTTAGAATGTTCAAGAATAACAAATAACTAGTTCACAAAAAGGTTTCAAACAGAGGTATTCCAGAAAAAATCTTTCTTTATTTAACAGGGTTTTTTTTAATTTTAAAGAACTGCATTTCCTGAATTACAAAAATTTATTCATACAATACTTAAACTCAAAATGTAACAATTCAATAAATTAACATAAACCACTCAGCAAATACAACATACTTTTGAATCATGTAAGTAGATGAAAGTATTCAATTATTAATGATCTAAAGCAGCAAATTTCTTTTAGGTGTTGCTTTGCACCTGGCCATTATTTATAATCGAATTCATGAAATGAAGATTTGGTAGCCGTCCAAATGCCCTTCAGACCTTGTGCAACGGGCTCTACACTTTGTCTGGCTACCAGTCTCCTAATACAAAATCAGGTGCTACACCTATCTGATGTAATGATTTTTGGAAAAAAGGGAGGTCTCACAATACCTCTGAAATATCGGAACACCGTAGAACATGCCAAACTGGCACACATATGTACTTTCATGCCTATAAGTTTCATTTATTCACTATGTTTTGGAATGAATTCACACTGACCATAACTAAAATCAGGCCACAGAAATAAAGGTCTGATGCGAATCATTCATTTTAACAATATATCCTTTACACCAAACTTCTAACGCTTATTAATTTTGACTTCAAAACAAAATACAACTACCACAAGCATAAAAAAAGGAAAGAGGCTCACCAATTTATTAACCTGAAGGCGCTTCAATAAAATATTTCTGCACCGCTGCTCTATTTCTCGCCTCTCTTTTCGACGCTGAATTAGCTGCATGTGCTTCTCTGCATATCTGGAAAAAATACTTTTGTTAATACAATGAAACCACAATTATCAATGATTACACAATATAACATGACAATGTGCAATAATGCAGTAAAACATTTACTGGCTCTTAACTTTATTTAATGAATAACAAAGTCCAACAGATAACACCAATTACAGGGCTGTTTTCTTTAACATGATTTCAAGGCATTCATGATTACATACCTCTTTATTGACATTAGGGATAAGAGAAGAACAGCATCAACAAACAAACATTAGCATTAGAGTTCGAGAGAAAATTGTTGATCAATTCAGATATTTGAAAAAGCCTACATATATGAAAAAACCTCAATTAACATTAAATAAAACAAGAAATTACCAGATTTTAAATAATTCTGACTCAAAATAATAAAGCAACTCCTCCTTGCTTTAGCTTCACAAGCTGATCCCTAGACATTTGCAACAAGGCTGGCTTTTAGTCTTATATTTAATATTAAAAATGCTATTTAACCACACCTACTTCAGCAAGAGTGAATCAGTAACAGTACACTCTTCCCTGGATTCTACATACTAAAAATCTAACATAGGTTGGATGTAGCCAATTGTCCAGAGACCAATATTAAGGATAGGTCACGTTAGGATTGGCTAATTCAAGCAATTGCATTCCAAACGCAGAGATATAAATACAGTACTGTATATAGTCCTGTTGTCATGTTCATACACTTTTTGGTGGGTACAGATATCCTCCTCATCACCAGACATACCACTCCATGTACAGCAACCGAGGTAAGCGCTACTCTCTCTATCAAGCTTAAGTGAACCCATATCCTCCATTGTACATTGACATGGACAAACGCATTTCATTACGCACTTCAACCTACATTAAGAGGCACCAGGAAACATCTACGCGGCATTGATACCGTGATCCATAAGCCCTTACATTGTGCACCTCGTTTTACCCTGTTCATACAACTCGCTGGACTAGGAGCGTCACAACACACAACATCCATGCCTTACATGGAATGTGAACCCGAATCCTCGAAATAACCAGTACTTGAATCAAATGACTTCAACCCCTATGCCACCCAAGCCAGACAAGAATGCATAGAAGGGTGTTGGAAGTTTGAGAAAGCTCCACCATGCAGTACGTACTGCAGTTTCCAAGAAGCAGAGGGGGGGGGGGGAATAAGTCTGACAATTTGTGTTGAAGATACAGTGGCCATAAAGTTGCAATAGCATTACACTGTAGTAGCATAACATATGTTCCAAACATGGATCTGAAATGTTCAGCTTCAACATATAAATATATTACAATATAATAAATCATGTAATAATATGTAATTATACTAAAATGTATAAAAATATGTACACTAAAAATGGTTCTAAGTCATTGTAAATGTCTTATAAACTCAGAAAACATTGAATGCAGGTATCTTGTTCCTGTAAAAACATGTAATTACACAAACATTTGTTCCCTAGTGATTACTACTACATTTTGTGAAAGTCATGGGATTGAATCCTTTTATCTTATTTCTCAGTATAAGCAGCCTAGCAGTTTCATTTTCACATATTCGGTATCATAGACACCACATTTTAAACTTACATTAGTGCTTTACAATATCACAATGTTTTTCTCAATTCTGAAGATTAACACTGTACTTAAATCAATTGTTGAAATATTTTAACACAATAATGAATTTCATGATTTGTATTTTAATTGCAATAATTACAAACAAGCTCAAAAAGCCTTTACTTTACACAATTATCTTCCGAAATTACACATTCACATTAACACAGAATAAATAATATCACTAGCAATATCCATGCACGTTTTTTGCACCTAGTTTTTCAGAATAGTTTCTAAACACATTTTTTGACATAATTAACATTTTTAAATTATTGCTTCACATTCTTTAATCTCACAAAATATAAAAATTCTACACACAAATTTCTATTTAATTCAAATAAAATGGTTTCCAAGAATCTCAAAAACTATGCTTTTTTCCCTATGATAGAAAATCAAGTTTATATGTAGTACAAAATTGTACAACAGTAACATGCATACTAAAATTCTGTAACATAAACTTCACAAGTCGATGTTTTTTAATACAAAGCAATACCAAAATGCTTAAAATTGGTAGTTGTGTTTGATATTAGTTCTGTAGTAGATGGTTGAAACATGACCAAGAAGAGTTGATATGAAAATATATGATTTGAAAACAATTTTATTTTAATTCAAATTTATTGTTAAGACACAAAAATTAAATATTAATTTAATTAACTTAACATTAAATACTGTCTAATTGCCCTTAATGTCCAAATCACTTAATAAGTGGAATGTTGGCACGTTTTTTGCACCTAAAATAAAAAAAAATTTGAAAAGTTGTTGGCTTGTTTGGCTTTGCTGAGAATAAAGGAATTTTCTTTCAGTTAAATCATTTTTCCAACAAGAGTTACAAAACAAACTTAACTGTCAGTGAAAAAACAGGCTTGTATTTTTTTATTGTTTTCTTTCTCCCTTCTCTTTATGGAACTCAAATTGTTTGGTGTTTTTTAAATTGTAGAAACTATGATCTGTTAAGTTCCCCAAAAACAAGGAGCACTTACGTTTTTACCTCCAATGAATCTCTCTTTTTCTTCTATTCTTTTTTACTTTCACTCTCTCTCTCTACAGATAACAAATAGTACACAGTTGTAATGAATACAAAATTCTTATAAGTTATAATCACTTTCAAAAATTTAATTTATTATGCAGAAAACCTTCAAATCCGCACAATGAAAGGAGTCAGAAAAGCTCCAAATGTGCTTACTTGTAAAGAAATTCCAATTCAGTTTCCAATAATATTTCGCACATAAAATTTGCATTTGCATATAACGTACACACCTTCAAAAAATGGTACATTATAAAAATTTGAATGGATAAATTGCCAATGAGAAATTTGAAGACCAAACTTTTTACTGCTTCACAGAACATTCAATAAAAAATATTCTAGAATATACTATCATCAAAACAAATTAAATCTTTATGCCACACTCTTCAACTTTCTCATACCTGTCGAGGACATTCACAATATTTTAAGAATAACAATCAACAGTTAAGAAAATAAATATCAGCATTAAAGCACCATTTGTCTACTCAACACAATACAATGTTTGACCAAAGGAAAAAATCTTGTGTATATCTCAAAACTACCTTAAATATAAGTGTTGCCCCAAAAGTAATTTTTACTAACAATCCATCCTCTTTATTTTCTCTATAAAATAATGAACATGATATGAAACTTTTCTTTTTACAAAAAACAGCACATACATTCAATGTAATGATGGTTACAAAATTAAATAATAATTTTAACCTAGTACAGTCTCAGTATTTTTTTTTTATTTTTAATTTTTTTTTTTTTTTTTTTTTTTACTTTATTTAAAGACCATAACATCCTCTAAAAAAGTCACTAAACTTCAGCACTGAACCTACCAAAACAAGAGGTAACAGTGCCAAGTAAGAAGTCGCACAACAAAGACATTCGTTTGTGACAGTCAAAAAAACAATACCCGACATATACATTTTACCTTTCTAAGGCGATGTCATTCACATTAAACTCTTGTTTTCAATTGCAAAAAACAATACATACGAAATTTCTTTCTTTACCTTGTTGAGTAATGACGGACAGAATGCACAAAATCTCCGTTCTGTATACATTGTCGACAATAGAAAACTTTTCTTTGGCTAGAACAGAGAGGGCACTTCTCAAAGGTTGGGCTCAAACGGGTGCAACTATCTTCAGTGGAAGACGATAAATGAAAATCTGCTGGAGCATCACTACTAAAGTCTGAATCGCAAGTCGCCATTACTTTGGCGACCAGTCAGCACGACGCGTCTATTCTAGCTTGACTCTTCTGCCGTTTGACAAGGTACCGCGTGGGGCGCTACTATCACCACTAGAAACACAACAATGTGAACGATGCGACGTATCAGGCAAAACAATCAATGAACGATAAAATTCACAGAATGTTTAGACTCATCAGTTGAAAATACGCGCACGTTTTGTTGAGTGCCGTTATAATATATTATAATATTTTAATTAATTTCTTAATAATGTATTCATTGTTGAATTCACTGCGACTGACGTGACTTGACTACCCAGCACTACCCAGTGACCTGTAGAGGGCGCTGGGCGTATAGTAAAGTAGGATTATTATAAATAACGGAGGATTGCTCCAAGGTGCGCTCAACGCTCTTTGGAACTAGGAGCCGCGTTGCGTGAATGGACGCAATAAATTAAAAGAAAAAAACCTCCCTGGTTGGTACGAACAATGGACCAAGGTTTTCTTCCACAGCACTATAATAGATTAGTACTACGTTACCTCGGTAGCGTTTGTGACGCGACCCTCGATAAATAGTTTATTTCGTTCTTTCATTGGCAACATAGAATGAAAAATGCCACCAATCAACATTTTCCCCATTGCTATCTGCAAAGGGCTATGCTCTGAAAAAAGGTTTACGGATTCACTAAGCCGCTTTTAGAGTCTCTATGACGGTAAAACATATGCGGCCAACGTTGCGATAAAGCAACACAAATACAACTTATCATGCATTCAAAATTTACTTTAAGCTACTACGAATATTAAACTTTTAAATATATTATTTAAATAGATGTTTGCGTGAAAAATGTTAAATATATTGTACGGGATAAAATATTAAAGAGCTCAAACAAGGAATGGCCCACTTTTGTCACAACATAACATCCTTCTGTACCAAAAATATAAAACAAATAAGTCTAAAAAAGTAGGTAATTAAGAAAGCACAAATATAGTAAACAATAATTTGCCTTTTCGCCCAAACTGCTTGAAAATAAAGTTACGAATTTTATGTTGCGTTTTTGCAACATTTGCCTAAAAGGGTTAATGAGTAGTGAGAAAATAACAAAGCAAATTCAATTTTTAACAATTAAATTTGTTCAAATAATTGTCACTCCGACTGGGAATTAAGATAAACCAAAAGACAGGAGATATTATCAAATATTTCGAAGGGACTTGACGATAGTTATTCGTAACATTTTTAGTTTCGAAATTACCATTGTACAGAATTCGTGCTCTTGCTCTAGATTGGTTATGTTCTAACCTTAAACAACGATATCGAGGCGTAAAATGCCGTAGTGGAATGATAGGACATTATTCACTCATCTTTCTGATTCTTTACCAATTGCACATGGGGGCCTGCAGGGTTCGATTTTAGACTATGTTCTCTTCATACTGTACGAAGGTTGTCTTTTATGTTTCGGGCTTTGGCAACCCTGGTGTTGCAATCTGGCAACTGACAGCTCTATCGTAAAGTTGGATGTTTTGAGGTTGTACGTACTCAGAACGTTTTGACATACGACAGCTATTTGTGTTGTTTACAGTAACTTAAAAGATTCATCTTGGCCCAAAAATTGAATTAAATCGTGAACATTTTCGTGCGATTATTTTTTACAACTTTCGACGTGGATTAACTCAGTAACAGTACATGGATGAACTTAATTCAATTTTGGGCGATGAAGCTCCATCAAGGACTAGTGTTTGTCGATGGTATGGTGAATTCGATCGTGGTTGTAGTTCACTCCAAGACGAATTTCGCGAAGGTCGTCCAAAATCAGTTGTTGTTCCGAAAACCATTGATGCTGTGCGTAAACTAATATTGCAAGATCGTCATGTGACCTATCGTGAGATTGAGACAACTTTAGGCATTAGTGGGACCAGCATACATTCAATATTGCATTAACATTTGACTGTCAAAAAATGTGTTCGCGTTGGATCCCACACTATTTGTCAATCGTTAAAAAAAGGCTCGCGTCGATTGGTCGAAAAAATGCTAAAAAAAATACGATGGCGGTACTTCGAAACACGTCTATGACATCGTGACAGGTGATGAATCGTGGATTTACGCGTATGAGCCCGAAAGTAAACAGCAGTCGCCTGTATGGGTGTTTCAAGATGAGCAAAATCCAACAAAAGTTGTTCGCGCACGAAGCACTTCCAAACAGATGATCGCCTGTTTTTTCGAAAAAACTGGACATGTCGCAACCGTACCACTAGAACAACGCAGAACAGTCAATTCTGAGTGGTACACATGATTTGTTTGCCAGCTGTCTTCCAAGAAATCAGGAAAACCAACCGCCGAAGACGGATCACTCTTCACCACGACAATGCGAGCTCTCACACATCGGCTCAAACAACGGCATTTTTGAGCACCCAAAACGTCGATTTGATGAGTCATCCGCCATATAGTCCTGACTTGGCACCGAATGACTTCTTTTTATTCCCGTACGTAAAAATCAAACTGAGAGGTCAACGTTTTTCGACACCTAAAGAAGCGGTTGCTTCATTCAGAATGCATGCTTTAGAGATACCTCAATCAGAGTGGCAAAAGTACTTCGACAATTGGTTCAAACGCATGCAAAAATGTATAGATCTTCATGGAGAATATTTTGAAATACAATAAAGTGATTTTTGATGATTAATATTTGTTTTTGTTCTCTAATCCTGAAATATAAAAGGCAACCCTCGTATGTCCTCCACGATTCCAAAAGTAGAACAGTTCTCTTCACCGATGATACGAACATTTTTTGCAATAAAGAAATCGTAAATAGTACCCTATTAGAAGTTTCAAATTGGTTTCTTTATAACAAATTAAAAGTAAAAGAAAGGAAAACGGCTTTAATGCTAGTTTCCCTTTCAAATAAACAATTTTATTCCCCATTGAAATTAAACGATTTGCAATTCACTCAAGTTGAGATAAAATATAATAATAATAATAATAATAATAATAATAATAATAATAATAATAATAATAATAATAATAATAATAATAATGTCTCCCAAAGTCCAGCCCTACGTCCGAGCAATTGAGAACTTAGCCACGTGGGAGATGGGCAACGTCAGAAACTTTGGCAGTAGACAGGGCGATGGCACACCCATATGCATATGGAGACACGGAATGCGTCGCAAGGCATCGGAAAAGTAGCCGCTGCCTGGGGGAGCGCCAGGGCACCTTCGGAACCGCCGCTGGAGGTGACAGCATGAGAGCCGGTGGTGATCAGGAGCTGAACACGGGGGCCCTGATCGGGGATAACTCCGAATATGCTACAACCGAAGATAGCAGCACCCGTCAATCTCCACTTGTAGCTGTCCCTGCCGCAAGTGCTTCCCAGAGAAGCAATATATTGCTTCCAGAGACCACTGCGGCAGACACGCAACGCACAAGGATGAAATGGACTACAGAATTAATTACCTTCATCATGCGTGAATACTACTACTCTACCAAAATGGAAACTGGCACTAAGGCCTACAGACAAGATGTACATCAAAGATTTCTTCACCATTTCCCTGATTCTCAAGTTAGTGAGCAAAGAATAGCAGACCAGCGTCGAGCAATTGTTCAGAAATATCTCCTATCTGCACCAGTTTTGGAAGCAATCAAAAAAGAAGTGAGAAAATGCTTAACTCCTCAGAACCTAGTAATCTGAGGGCAGTGGAGATATCAGCTGTGCAAACTCAGGATGACAATGGGACAAACATGTCAGAACGTATTGATGATGCGAGTAGTGAATAGGTGAGAACTCGCAAAGAATTTGCAGCCACACTTGCGGAATTTGAAGGAACTGACCCACTGAACCGCTATCTCATTCCAGACAAAATTGCTCGAAGAAATTGGCAAGAGCTATCAGCGTCTTGAATGACAAAGTACTACCGTAACATCTACAACAAAGACCATGATTCGAAGAAGTACACACAGCAATTTATTGTGCTGCGGTTGTGGCTTCAAGATGTAACGGTTCCAAGTTTTTCAGACGTGTAGCAACTGACCACAATGATCAAAGTGAAAAAAGAATGCCACCTCGGGAAAGACGACTAGTGAATCGTATAGAACGCATTAGGAGAGATATTGGTAGACTCACACAATTTCAAAAAGGAAATACTGCAGAAAAACTGAGAAGAAAGGTGAATAAACATCCTTATCAATACAAAAATACATACGAAGCACGAGCCCTTGAATTCAATAATAACAAAACATCTTGACACCCTACGACAAAAGCTTTTGGCGTTAACAAAACACCTTCGACACTACAGGAATTACACTATGAGGAAGCAACAAAATACTCTTTTTAACAGGAACCAGAAAGCATTCTACAGGAATCTTTCAAAGAGCAAAGGGCTTGTAAGTGATATGAAAGAGTCAAAGCTTGCCTTAAAGGCACAGATAGAGGACGTTTGGAAACCGATCTGGTCATCTCCTGTGTCCCACAACCCAGATATGACGTGGATTGAAATGGATTATGACAGACACCGAGATATCCCTCTAACGGGTGAACTAATCATCACCGTGGAAATTGTCCAAGCAGTTTTGAACAAAGCACATAACTAGAAGGCACCAGGCAGTGATGGCCTGCACTCACCATCATATAGATAATATAATTCAATATTTTCTTCACAACCCAGAAAATCTGCCTTACTTCCTCACTGAAGGTAGAACGTTCTTGTTACCAAAGGAGGGTGACACTAAATACCCCTCGAAGTACAGGCCTATAACCTGACTTCAAACTCTACAAACTCATAACATCTTGTGTTACACAAATGATGATGACACGCATTGAGGAACAGAACACCATAGCGAATGAACAGAAATGAGGTAGACCTGGATCCCAGGGATGCAAGGAGCAATTCATTATAGACTCTGTAATTATGGGTCAAGTGCTTGAAAAACAAAGAAACTTGTACGCATGCTACATAGATTATGCTAATGTATTCGACACCGTGACCCATTCTGGGTTCCTTCAATGTTTGGATGTATACAAGGTCCACACGTTTATCCAAAACTTCCTGAAAACCGCGATGAGTCGATGGAATACAAAAC